TAGTAATTGATAGAAGTGCTAATGATATATGTCGGTTTATTTGATATCCTGCAACTTTGCTAACGTTGTAAATTGTTTCAATTAGTTTTTTAGTTGATTCTCTGAGATTCTCCAAGTATATCATCATATCATCTGCAAAGAGTGATAGTTTTGCTTCCTCAATACCTATTCTAATTCCTTCAATTTCTTTTTCTTGTCTAATTGCTGTAGCTAGCATTTCTAATGCAATATTGAATAACAATGGTGATAATGGATGTCCTTGCTTCAACCCTGATCTTATTGGGAAAGCTTCTAGCTTATCCTCGTTACTGATAATGCCTGATGATGTTTTTAGATAGATATTACTTAGCATTTTAAGAAAGGTTCCGTTTATTCCTATGCTTTCTAGTGTTTTTAATAGAAATGGATGTTGTATTTTGTTAAAAGCTTTTTCTGCATCTATTGTTACAATTGTATGATTTTGTTGTTTTTGTTATGGATATAGTCAATTATGCTGATAGTTTTCTTGATATTGAACTAGTCCTGCATTCCTGATATAAATCCCAACTGATCATAATGTATGATCTTGCCAATATTTTATTTAAAAATTTTGCATTAATATTCATTAAAGAAATTAGTCTAGTTTTCTTTCTCTGTTTTTACTCTCCCTGGTTTAGAAGTCAAAACTATATTTATGTCTCAGTACAGGGGTGGGGAACCGGCTACCTGGAGGCCACATATGGCCTCTAGGTCCTTGGGTGTGGCCTTTTGACTGAGGTTTAGTTTTACAGAATAAATCCTCTTATTAAGGGAATTTGTTCTGCTAAATTTGGATTTAGTCAAAGGGTCTTTGACATTTGAGGACCTAGAGGGCCACATGTGTCCTCGAGGCTGCATGTTTCCCACCCTTGTCTTAGGAGGAATTTGGTAGGACTCTTTCTTTACCTACTTTTTCAAATAGTTTGGAGTTAATTTGGAAATAATATTAGAATTAATTGTTCTTCAAATGTTTGGTGGAATTCACATGTAAATCTATAAAGTCCTGGATTTTTTTTTCCTTAGGAAGCATATTTATAGTTTGTTCAATTTATTTTCTTTTTAAAGATAGAATTGTTTAAGTTTTATACTTCTTCTATTAATCTGGGCAATTTGTTGTTGTTGTTGGTTTTTTTATATTCACCCATTTCATTTAGATTGTCAGTTTTATTGGCATATAACTGGACCACAAAGCTCCTAATAATTGCTTTGATTTCATCCTCAATGATCATGCATTCACCCTTTTCATTTTTGATACTGGTAATTTGGTCCTAAGATATCTGAGAACTTTTCCTTTATAATTTCCTGAAATATGGTATCTAGGTTCTTTTTTTGATTGTGGCTTTCAGGTAGTCCAATAATTCTTAAATCATCTTTCCTTAACATATTTTCCAGGGCAGTTGTTTTTCCTATGGGATACTTTACATTTTCTTCTATTTTTTCAGTCTTTTGGCTTTATTGTTTCTTGATGTCTCATGGAGTCATTAGCTTCCACTTGACTAATTCTAATTTTTAAGGAATTATTTTCTTCAATTTTTTTGTGCCTCTTTTATCAAGCTGTTAATTCTCTTTTCATAATTTACTTGCATTACTCTCATTTCTTTCCCAAAATTTTCTCTACCATTCTTATTTGGTTTTTAAAATCAGTTTTTGCTTTTTTTAAAAAAAAAATCTTCCTTTAGCTCTTCTAAGGATTCTCATTAGGCTTGTGTCCAATCTGCATTTTTCTTTGAGGTTTTGCTTCTAGATGTTTTAAAGTCATTGTCTTCTGGATTTGTAACTTGAACTCCCTGTCACTGTAATAGCTTTTTATGGTTAGGTTTTTCTGTTGTTGTTGTTGTTTACTCATGTTTCTAACCTGTTTCTTGACTTTTGACTTTATGTTAGAGTTGGGCTCTGATCACCTCTGGGAGTGGTGGGGATGTCTGGTCTGGTCTTCTGATTTTTATGTCCTGCTGCTTTCACAGCCAGGTCTAAAGTGATGGGGGTGGGAGTGGGGAGGAACTGTAAGTTTTTGGTGCTTCCAAAGTGGTGGGATACAAGGAGAGTTCTGCTCACTGCCCTCCTGGTTCTTACCGGAGTAGGGCCCTGGCTCCCACCAGTGCTCCTCTTAACCCTAGAATCTGAACCAGGGCCCCTGCTTCCTCATAACCGTAAGCACTCCTCTCTGCCCTAGTACTGGGTGATGGACAGTGGAGTTGCGAATGGTGTCCAGTTCTATGCCCAGTGCTAGCACAGGGATCCCCTGTAATCTCTTTCTGACCAGAAGTTCAACCCCCTGAGTGCTGAGCACTCCTGATACCACTGTAGCCGCCACCACGGATGAAGCCTCCAGGCCCCACAGCCGCTGTTGCTTCCACCATGCTGCTCCTAGGAGCACTCTCCACCATTGTGTCTGCAGACCTCTCTTTCTGTCCTCCTAAGCTACCCTGGCCTGGAAAATTACTTATTCTGACTTCTTGTTGGTTATCTGCTTAGAATTCAATTTGACATGGTTCTTTAGAGGGCGATGTTGAAAGAATTTGGAAAACATGCTCACTTTACTCTGCCATCTCGCCTCCACCCCCTCCATTTTGTTTTAAGTTTGCATTTTGTGACTAATTGTTATGTAAGTTGCTTTTTTGTAATAAGATGACTTAAGGGGTATAGCTTGGTAATGGCCTATGTGTCCCCAAATTTGATAAACAACTACTAATGACATGTGTTCACCATATTTAGTAAAACGTTAATGAGACGTGTTCCCCAAATCTGGTAAACAGCTAATAAAATACTTGCTAATGATGTAATCTTTGATGTATATTTTACTTTCACCATAAGCTTAGGTAATCAATCACCAGTCAGAACTTGAGTTTAACCAGCTAATGTCCATAGCTAACACTGTTAGAAACCCACCAAACACCCTCCCTCTTCAACCTGATCTTGGGTAACTCCTGTGTTTCTCCTGTTGAGACTCAAGCATCCCCATGTTTGCTTTCAGGCAATACTGATCGACTGGCAAAGGTCTGCAGACCCTCCAGGCCACCATCTCCAGGGAGAGAGACACACTGCCTCCAGGCAGAACCTCGCCATTGAGGACTGGTAGGAAATCAGGTTGGTGGTTTGTTCCTAGTGGGGTCTAGTAGAAAATACAAATGAATGTTTACACACATTTGATTGATAAAGTTTCATTGCTGGCATGAGAAGTAGGGTCTAATAAGCGTTTCCATCTGTGAGAAATTATTATTTCTTTCTTATATTAATAATCAATTATTGAATTAGGACCTGTAGGTTTGTTCAGGACATTGAACTGAGGGACATTGGTGATGGATGAGATTGCTTTTCTATCCTGGGTTGGAGACCCCCTCCAACTAGAAAACCTTAATCTAAGGTGAATTCTGGCCCATGGTTTTCTACTCATCCAGGCTTGGGAAATGGTGGACCCACTTTTCTCTAGATTGTCCTATGTGGGGTCACCTGGATGAGAGATAAGTCTCTTTGTCCAAAACTGAATGATCAGAGTCTGTGCCCCGGCTCCTCGTTAGAATAAATCTACCTCTCATTATAATATTCATTCTTCTCAATCAGAGTCCTTCAAGAACACCCACTCTTCTAAGGGCATATAAGCATTGAGTGGGTTCCAGGAGGGGTCTTTGGCATTCGAGAGGGCCACTGACCCCTCTTATTAATTATCTGCTAGCATGATAAAATGATTAATTACCCAGAAACTATGTCACTCCAACTTTTTATATGTCACACATCACATTAGTGAGCATAAAGAATGTTAAACTGATTTTGTGCCTGTACACAGAAGTGTAGTTGGTGCTTTGTAGCTCCCATGCCTCGGCACATACTACGTATTTAATAAGTGCTTGTAGATTTATCAGGTATATTAACACATACAGACATGATGTTGAATATATGTAAATATGTAAAAATGAAAAACCCCATTATTTAAGATGTCACTCCCCACAAGGATTTCATGGAGTTTTTGAAGTTCAGACACTCCCAGTGCCTGGTCCAGGACTGGCACAGACACCTGCACTGATGGGAGCAGCGGAGCATAGCATAACCAGGACCCTCCTGGGTTGGGTTCCCTAGCCTCCTCTGAGCAATGGGCCACACAGTAGACAGGTATGTCTATAAAAGATCTCAGATGTGGAACTAAAACGTGTCTTAGAGTTCATCAAGTCCAACCGCCCATTTTGCAGATGAGGAAACTGAGGCACAGAGTCCAGGTGACATACCCAAGGTTATACAAGTGTGTCTGAGGTGGGATTTGAACCCAGGCCCTCCTAATTCCAAGTCCACTCAAATTGCAAACAGTCTCCCTCGAGTGAATCTCATCCACCCCACTGGACTGACCCCGAGGTTCACAAGGCCCCCTGAGGTGCTGGCTGGCCGTAGTAAGGGGTCTCAGTAGAAGGAAGAAGACGGCTCTGTGGTTCTTGAGATCAGCAGCCAAGAGTGTGAGCCCAGCTCTGTTACTCGGCGAATGCCATGCGACTGAGGGGCCCAGGAGTAATAATACACACATGGCCCCTGGAAACCTCAAATGCGACCAAGGATGCAAAATGTGCTTAGTGTGAGCATACCACTGGCTGCAGCCCGTGTACATCCCTACAGGGGTGTGCGTGTGTGTGTGTGTGTGTGTGAGAGAGAGAGAACACAAGCGTCACTGGAGCACGGACTGGAGGTGGGTGGGGTGTCCATCCCTACGGGTGTGTGTGTGTGTGTGTGTGTGTGTGTGTGTGTGTGAACACAAGCGTCACTGGAGCACGGACTGGAGGTGGGTGGGTGAGCCAGGAGAGACACTGCCTCCAGAAGGCCCCTCTGAAAGTGTAGGAGTATCCTCTGGGCTCGGCTCTTCTGGCTTCTTCCTATCAGCACAGAAGCGTGGACTGTCCCCCTCGAAGGTGGCCAGAGCCAGGAGGCGTCAGGAGGAGAGGTAGAAACCTCACATACCAAAAACTCTGCAGGAAGTAAGGTTTTAAAAATTTATTCCAGGGATCCAAAGGAAGAAAATGGGGTCTCCTTGGAAGGCCACGGGGCCTCAGGTCGGGGGAGGGCCGTTGACATAGTTGAGGACGAGGTGCAGGGGCCCACGGAGCCGGAGCCGGGGTGGGTGGCAGTGAGGCCCCCCGGGGGGAGGGAGAAGACATGCCACCCCCAGCAGGAGCAGAAGCAGCAGGAATAGGAGGGTGCGGTGGGTCCAGCGGGGCTGAGCTCCCCGCTCCTTGGGACCCCCAGCGCCCAGAGGGATCTGCACAGTCACGTCTTGGGGGCTCGGCTGCTTCCTGGCCTGAGTGCGGAAAGAAGGCCGGGGGGCACCCCACGGCCGGAGGGACCACACCTGCAACGAGAAGCCCGGAAGTTGAAAATCTGGAAAGACTTCTCTGCAGTCCTGAGTGTGCTGGGCCAAGGGTCAGATCACTGTCACCACCCACCCAGCCCAGCCCTAGAAATGTCTCCGCTAAGCAGCACCTCCCCTGGCCCTCAGCCTCTGGTGAGCCCCCTCCCCGTGCAGGATCAGAGACCAGAGCAGGGGCTAGCCAGAGACGAAATGAGAGACGACACCCAACACGGCAGAGACAGAGATGTGGGCTCACCAAGGGCACCCCTCCCCTTCTCCCCCTGAATCTCTAGTGATGTTCTAAGATTCTCTTTCTCCAAGTAGTTTCTCTCTCTCTCATTCTCTGTCTCTGTCTCCCTCATTCTCTGTCTCTGTCTTTGTCTCTCTGTCTCTCTCTGTTTCTGTCTCTCTTATTCTGTCTCTGTCTCCCTCTCTTTCTCTCATTCTCTGTCTCCCTCTCTTTTTCTGTATCCCTGTCTCTCTCATTCTCTCTCTGTCTCTGTCTTTGTTTCCCTCTCTGTCTCTGTCTCTGT